CAAATATTTAATCCAGTAGCTTTTCTCGCTATTGTTGGTCTGAAGTTGGAAGTGTTTTGTAATGTTCTAACATAAGCCAGACTACCCTCTGATAGATGTGGTTGTTTTTTAGTTTGTTAGCCTTCTGGATCACACTGTGTACAGAACAATCGTCCGATAGAGTTATTTTTATTGGGCGCGGCTTGTCTGACCCAACACGTCCTAAAAGTATGGGTCCGATCGATTCTGCTTGTTGAATTTCTGGATCAATACAATCCAGAATAGATTTGACTACCTGTATATCGCTTCACTCACGTGCATCTGTTGACTGCTGCTGATAATAACGCTACGCTTCCGTTTATTGCGATCATGATCGATGTCCGGTCTGGCCACTTTTCCGATATCAGCTTAAACTATCATTTTTTGATCGAAGCATTTACATTTTCGTTTAAATATATTTCAAATACTAGTCAAAATCGGAGTCTTCGGGCTTTATAGTAACGAAAACCGTAATGAACTATTAAATATCGATAGATATAACCCCCTTTCTTACTCAAATAGTTGCCGATTTCGATAAGATCCCAGTCAGAATCGGCTTTTTCGAATCTTATTGTGCCTTTATGAGAGGCTTGTTTTTTAGAAATTGTGATTTATTATTATAGTATTATTTAAAGTTTGTTTAATTAAACTAAAACCTATATTTTATTTCTCGTGGCATTTAGCAAAAAACAAGCACATTTGATTCAACCGGAGATATGGGCCTATGGGTAGATATTTCCTATTATGTGACACACTTAAAATCTTCCAATTAGCATGTTAAAGTAAGAGAGTGAGTTGAAATCATTTGTACAGCTGCCTCTTAGGTAAAGAGTAGGGGCGTTTGAAAATTTCGATTTTAAAGATACCGTGGCATCTTCAGTGCAAATGTAAAAAAAGCTTATTTTGCGTATTTAGACACTTGTTGTGAGTGTGACTCCAGAGGATCTTCTAGAGATCTTGACATTCTGCCACCAAAAACCACCGTCTGCTCAGGGTTAACAAAATAATTTTTAACAAGCTTCCTTGCAGATGCACTCAATATAGTTCAAAATCAATAAAAGTAAGAGGTGAATAATTATATTAGTTTATGAAAACTATGGTGAATTTAAAAAATATTTGAAAAATAACAATTAACAAAAAATTATTTTTTTACGTCTACGTTAATAAGAAAGGATGTTACCTTACAAAAACAAAATTTTAACACAATTCGATTGTAGGTGCCATTTTTATTTTATGATAAACAATAGCTTGGCTGTTGAAACAATTAATTTGTCAGTAAATAAATAATATTTATGAATGTCGACAACATGATTCGCTAGCAATTGGAAACAATTTGACTGTTGAAATTACCACGGATGAAGCAAGCCGTCAAATTTCGCCCACTATTCGGGCATTTCCGCAACTTTAGTCACGGGTGTGAATATATCGGATATTTTCGGTAGATTTTAAGCACTGCTGGTACTTTGACATTTGTAAATTCTGACACACATCAAAAAAAAGTTGCAGCATGGGCATATTAATAAATAGATAGATAGGTAGATGGAATTTAATATTAATCTGAATTTGAATATTAAGTTGTCAAATCAATTCGCTGAAAAATTTATTGTTTTATGTCTGTGCTGTTCTAATGGTGTTAGTAAAAGGATAGTATGCAACCCATTGATAAACTTCACTCGTGCATTTGATCACACTCATGACTAATATGGCGTTTATCAAACTTCTGGCATAACATGGTTATAGATAAAATAAACAACAATAAACCACATTAGGCCTGTTTCAGAGACCACGAACTGTTTTATTCAAAAAATCCCATCTTTGTAGTTATTTTGTGAAACGCTTTTTAAAATATCATGCATAATTCAACCTTCACATCTTTAAATATTTAAATATTTCATGCAATGGTGCATTTTCTCTAGTATATCCTTTTTTATTTTTGTTATTTATGCATTACTAGAAAACAAACAATTCTGATTGGTTCGGTGTAAAGGAAGTAACCATCTTAAATAACTGTAGTAAAGTGTTAAGTATTTGAATAATGAAGACATTTCCAGTCCCTCGCTTGACGACAGAAAACGAGACGTTACACCGACTCTGAGCAATTTAACCTTACTTCCGGTGTATTTGTTTTGTTGGCGAAATTGCCTCAGCCGTTAAAATTACCTCAGGTAGAATTTATTTGGTCTCTTAAATTTTCATAGCCAAGAGTTAAACGATGGCAGATGAGCTCGTCTTTAAAGTACAAAAAAGCATAGTTTCGACCGGGCGAACTAACTCTTTTGTATTTTATTTTGCAATGCGACTGAAAAAAATGAGAGAATTCCAATGGAGAAAATTGTTTATCGGTACCATGTACACTGTGTGCCAAATAAAACGATACACTATATAATCTGGAATCCTATAGGATATACGAAAAAGAATTTGGTACAAAAGTTTCCTGGATTCTCCTGACGATCTAAAATATTATAATAATATAATAATATAAATACACGGTATCCCTGTATATTTCGACATTTTTGGAATCCTTGATTGGTCACTTCCTTAAGAAATTCCTATTCGAATATCACATAATTTAAGCAGAAGGTCAGGTTATATGTTTTCTTTTTATAAAATATAATACAAATCGCTATGTTTTTTTTAACATTAATTTGTATCTAAATTAAAAACAAGTAAATGTTATTTATACCGCTATTATTAATTTTTTATTTTTTTCTTATTCTGATGTTTTTCGTTGTTGTTTGTATTTAGTATCTTAATGAATTATGTATTTATCAAATAAAGCATTTATTATTATTGTTGTTAGTATTATTATAATCATTTTATTATTAATTAAGGTCTACCAAAATGACGATTGACGGACTTGGTTAGTTTTACATCAATATAAAATAACCCATTCGAACTTTTTATATTAATGTACCATCGTCAAAAAGTTTTGTGCAGCTTATGCCAACATATCGAACTTTTTAATAACGATATGACAGTGGCGCCGCAAACGGTTTAGCGATTATGTAAATTTGTCGCGAAAATGTCTGCCGTCGAATAAAATTTGCATTCAAAACGCAAACAAATATTGCGAAAAAAATGATTTGATTACGTTAAATCCGTTTTGAAGAGGAGATTGCTTGGAACTGCCCGGAATATGTTTGCTGCTCGTTTAAGACGCTAACCAAATAGATTGATATTTGTGTAGCTCGGTACACTTTTTAAATTTGAGCTTGTAAATGAACAACTAAAAAGTTTCCTTTTACAACATAAAAGGGAAAATGAAACAAACATTTATTTTTAACAATAAAGGCAGATTAGATTAGATTATGCCAAAGTTAGGGTTTTTGTATAACACAAGACTAAATAAGAAAAACAAATACAACAGACAAAATTACGACAAACAACAACTAACCAAAACTCACGTTTATAATTGACTTGAATTGAAGAATACAATTCTTTATCAGATCAAAATATAATATTCCTGAAATTTACGTAGTCATCATTTAACACATGTTAATAATAAATTCATTTCTTTGAAATTGCAAATCGCAACAAATCCTAGTGCTAGAATATTTCTTGCCCCTTATGTAAATTGAAATAAGAATTTGAAGAATTTTAATATATTGCATCTAAACATTAGAGATGATATTTCGAATCTAGATAGACTTTTGTTGGTTAATGTCTCATTTAAGGTGCAAGCTGCAATTGTTGGTCATATCTGCCAATCCTTATAAATTGTTCTTGTAGGATAGACGGTGCAGATCAAAGCATTTCTTCCAGCTCACAAAAGAGCGTTGACTTTGACCAGGTTAGCAGATTATTTGAAATGGAATGATATTCAAGATATTCATGACCCTGGATTGGCAGTTGATTTTCTCATTAATGTTAACTAATACTGAAGATAAATTTCAGGAGATATTAGCTTTTAATAAGAACCACCGTAAGTTAAAACCATGGATTACAAATAGAATAGTTACTTCTATAAAAACTAGAGACAAAATGACAAAAAAACTTACCAGATTATCAAATCAACATATGAACAGATTTTAAAAATTATCAAATTTTGATTATTTGATGCCAACTAGTAACTAAAATCCAGTTTCAGTCCAGTTCATTGGTTTGTTATGAAAAAAATACAGTGTAGCTCAAAAAAACGTAACCAATGAAACATACTTTTTTTTTTAAATTTAAGCCGCTATCTTCTTCAACTAAACGTAATAGTATCTTTAATTTTTTAACATTTCTAAAAAAAAACTAGTTTTCGCACTTGCAAAAAAATGATGATAGCGAAATTATTTTTGAAGACAGGTCACTCATTAGCGTCATTCGAAGGTGACTTAATAGGGATTTACAATAAAATTTCAATTAGATGCTACAGGGTGTTTAAAATAAACGAATATATTTGGACTATTTTAAATTTGAGAAGCCAGGAGTTTCTAAACTTGGAGATCAAAAAAAAATATATACTGTTTCAAAGAATTTCATATGCTTTAATACGAGTTTAAATTGATTAAAATTTATTTCTGCTTTTTAGATTTACCATTGTAAAACAACTAGACGAGTCAAATGAACTTTTTTTTATTACTAAAACCAAATAGGCTTATTGACAATTAGCAATTCAACACATATTTTTTATTTTTTAGTAAAATATAAAAAGATGTATTCCTCATTAAGTTACGTCCACTAAAAACATAAGCGTAATAAAGTTATTTAATAAGATTTAAATCTTTTTATATGTTCGAAATGCTGATCCACACATTTTCGTAGCCTTTAAACGTACCTTATTTAGAAAATAATGCAATATGGAAAGATCGCAAAATTTATCATATTCACCGAGCGACATTTATTTATTATCTTACACAATCCGGGTCTCCGTTTTTTTTTCTTAAAAAAAAAACGAACATAAAATAACAGGACGAAAGTCCGCAAAAATCCTTTGCATAGTTTTATCCGGCGGGTCGCGACGAGCCCATTATCTGAAATTCAAATTTACGTTTCAGGAAAGTTATAACGCTGACGATAATAGAAGAGGACAGCTACGAGAAAGACGTCCTGTTCTACGTCCAGCTAGGTGAACCGCAGATGTCCGGTGGTAAGGCAAACGAAGGCTGTTTCACTGTTTCTTGTCTCCTCATGTTGATTCTTTTTCATATCTTCTACTGCACTCTCTTCGTCGTGTGTTGCATGTTCAGTAAGTAATAACCGTGACTGTGTTGTTAAACATTGCACCAATTTTTTTCCTTCAAGCGCACGATTTTTTGAGATGGTTGATGTGCTTCGACAATTCTGAAAAGACGCTATTGTTTTTACTCACTTATTTATACCTGTTACTTTTAACTCCTCAAGCTAGTTTCATAATAATTAAGAGTACCGCATATTCCAAACGGGGTTTATATTTAATTATATTTGGAGTAAGATATTTCACATCCACTATACCAATTTAGAGGTTTGAGCGAGCAATAGATGTGACCATCCTTAAGTTTACAAGATGGAGAAAGTAATAAAAGGAGAGTAGCCGAACCCTATTCACTTTTTGGTGTATAGTGTGAGTTTCAAAGCAAGGTAATACGCGTAACAGCAGAGCTAAATGATTATCAACCATGCAAAATTAGCGTCCGCTTTCTTCTTATCTGTGAATTTGTGCAAGGTAAGGTGGAACAAGTAGAGAACATGGCTGTTAAAATCATTCTACTTTCGAAATAAGTGCTGCCATCTATTGTTTGATACCCTTGTTACCTGTACCACATGTGTTTGTCACTTCTAGAGCAAGATCATCAGCAAAAATAAATCCATTTATATTTATTGAATCTGCAAAGATTTTTATTCCATTTTCGGCGTATAATTACGTTCAACATAATATATTTTATAAATATTTACCTTTTAGTCTTTTTTTATTATTACTCTCTTGACCTTGGCATCGGGGCGAGTGAGGATAAAACCATGGTGAGAAATTACTTTCGCAAAAGTAATAGGATATACCGCAGAGAGCCTTGAAACAAAAAAGCTTTAGCTATGGAAAACCTTAAAACATTCCTCTGCACGAAGAAGAAAAACTCGCAATTTGGCCTGTCCCGGAAAGAAGACAGAGTGTACAACCATTTAGATATACTTAAAAAAAAACTGTAATTGAACTTGGTTTGCAGAAACGTCCACCACAAATTTGCAACCTGGATAGAAGCAGCCTTAGCACAGATCCATCAAAAACAAAAAAATGTCCCAAAACGAGAGCCCCATCGACAAGAAGAAATTACGATACTTAAGCCTTCATTTCACACCAGCCACATACCTCAACCATTGGATCTGTGCGTATTTAAATCAATCAAGATCCGTTGGGATGCCAAACTTGTTGAAAGGAAAGAAAAAATGTAGGGGTTGCTGTAATTAAGAGTTTGTTTTTCAAGATGATTGGGGAGATATGGACAGAAACCAGGCCCGACATATTAATAAGTGTCTCTGGCTGCCTGTCTATCTGTCTGTCTTTGTCTGTCTCAGTCTTTCTCTGTCTGTCTGCCTGTCTGTCGGTCTTTGTTTGTCTGTCTCTGTCTGTCTTCCTTTGTCTGTCTCAGTCTGTCTGTCTTTGTCTGATTGTCTCTGTCTGTCTGTCTCTGTTTGTACTTTTATTAAAGTTCCGTTGAATAGGAATGTTATTCAACATTCTCAAAAAAAAAATGTTGCTAAAGTTCATAAACCTGACTCTGGCAGAAAGAAAAAACATTATTAAGGTTTCAGTCAAGCTCTGAAGAAGCCAACATGATTATTGGCGAAACGTCACCAAAAACCTACGCAAGAGGAATCCAGAAGTTTTATAAAAAGTATTACAGTAGTCTGCGGAAGTTTTTTTGAAAAATTATTAAGGTACCAACCACCTTCGAAGCATGGCCAAGTTCAGATTGACAAGAAAATATTTCCATAACATCCCAAAAACACGAGAGATTCCGATTGTCGTTTGATTTGATGAGGTGTTATTGTTAAAATCAACCAAATGTGAAAACAACCCTGTTTCGAAGAAAAGAAAACGCGTGTGCTTAGGAGAAGAGGGATTGACAAAATTTCAAGTCAAAATACAATAACAACAAAGTAAACCGAAAAATAAAATAAAAAAAAAATAAGAAAGTTTGTTAGTGAAATATATCTGAAAGCAGTGATAAAAATTTTTAGCACGGTGGTTCGAGTGAAGAAAGTGACGGTCTAAATAAATACAAGTGATTGGGACTAGTCGAATAAACGGAAAAAAGAAAGTATACAAATATGTTTGAATGGAAAACAAGTTCTTAATGATGATGAATCAGAAGTAATAGATTTAAAAAGGCTCACAAATAAGTGCCATTTTATTTTTCACCCGCACTGTACTACTGTCGGGCATAGACAAAAAACTGCCTTTCCCGAAAATATCAAAAACGACTGATCACGAAACGTATGTTTTTGAGGCAGCTCCTGAAGTGTCTGAAGCATGAAAAATACATGTTTTTTTTTTATTATTCATTTTTTCGATCAACATTAATTAAATATTTTTAGTTTAGTTCGTATGAATTCATGTTCTATCAATAAATATTTATGTAGTAAAAATATTATATTTTTTTCGACCCCTAATATATATTTTGTATCTCTAATTTTTAAATAATTAATTAAATTAAAGTAGAAAATGACAAATAAAAAATATAGATATGTATTAGGTACCATTATTTATTTTCTTTACTTGTCTAATGGCAAATAGCATTTAATATAATGAACTATTAATTTTTTAGGATAATCTAGTTTTTTCAAATAGCACCCTAGTGGGAACAAAAGCTTTTTTGAACCGGTACTTTTTTTGCAACATTTTGAAGCCAAAATTTTCAAAATCCGTTCAAAAATAATCTCACAAGAAGGAAAAAACCAGATATGTGAATACATTTTTATAAAAACAAAACATTATTTAAGTGGCTTTGATTCTATTCATTATTAATTGTAAAATCGGTAAGATTAAAAATGCAGAAGAAACTCTCGACAACCTCATGCAGTAGAAAGAAAAATCCGATTAGTAAAAAAAAAAATTTAAAGGAGAGTTTTTTCTGAGATTCAAGTATTACAATTTTTTGTTGAAAGTGTTTTATTATGGTAAAAAGTTGATATAGTTTTGGAATACGGGGATACAGTCAAAAACTGAGGTAAGTGTTGTATATATTCGTAGGTAGGTTTTTATAAAAATGTATTTACTTATCTGGTTTTTCCTTCCCGTGACCTTATTTTTCAAAGGATTTTGAAACTTTTGGTGTCAAAATGTTGCAAAAAAAGTACCGGTTTAAAAAAGATTTTGTTCTCACAAGGGTACTTTTTGAAAAAACTAGGTTATCCTAAAAAATTAATGGTTACAATTTTTCCCATAATCAGGTGGCGCGGTAAATTGTATTTATGATGGTCACAGCCTCCTAGATACAATTTTCAAAAATTAAATAAAAATTTAAAAAAAAAAAAAAGAAAAAACTCCTATCCTACGTAGAACAATCTCCTGTATCCAAAAATGCAAAAAATATAGGGTGTGCTATTTACAATTCGAATTTACTGTCGTTTCCGCTCAAACCGGAATGGAACCATTGACTACATATTGTCAAAAAATTAAACATTCAGCCTATAATATTTCTTGTGTGTAATCTGCAAAATTGGCAAAAAAGGGTATTTTGAATAAATAACTATTACTAATACGTAAGTGGGTGATCACAATAATATTTTCATAATTGTTTAATTATCAACTATGGAATATTCCGTTCCCACTTTCTCCACTTTACCTTAAATATTGTGTTGTGTTACAGGCGCATTTATTATTTATTTGTTTGTTAACGTACAAGATTTGCTATGACTTAGGATATTGCTATATTATACTATATTGACTACAAGATTGTTCTCAGTATTTTGTGGACAAGATAAAAGGTTTTCTAATTATTTTCCTTTATTGAAATAACTTTCATACTATGCAGATGGAACCAGAAGTGATAAAAATTGCATTTTTTTTTAACGGAATAGAATAACTTTAAATGGCTATATTTTAACTTACCAGAGAATTTACTTTTCAACTACCTATCGAATGGTGCTATGGTTTTTGGGTTCTATCTAAATAAATGATAGATAATGAATTGAGTTTGCAAATTTAGTCTGGTTTGCTGTAAGTTCCATTTATCGGGGGGCCTATAATCTTAGTTATTTAATTTTATTTTATCACCACCAACACCAAAATAACAACGATCGAAATTTCAATGGCAGAGTTAAACAAATCTGGTAGTCTCAGAAAATTATAAGATATTTCTATTGTAATAATACTTTTATTTTCCATACAGACAATTTGTGTAGGAAAAATGTTTACAATGACCAGTACCGACCAAATGTATAGAGACACTAAATATATATATATATATATATATATATATATATATATATATATATATATATATATATATATATATATATATATATATATATATATATATATATATATATATATATATATATATATATATATATATATATATATATATATATATACATATATATATATATATATATATATATATCCGGGATATCATCATCCGTTCGCTCGTTGAACTCCGACTGGAATCCTGCATCCAACTGGAATCCTGCAAATCCTGCATCCGACTGGAATCCTGCAGACGTTTCGCCAAAATCTCACTTGGCATCTTCAATGCTCGCGCTCCGAAAACACTTCGAACATATATATATATATATATATATATATATATATATATATATATATATATATATATATATATATATATATATATATATATATATATATATATATATATATATATATATATATATATATTCTCACGTATTGATTCACGGATGGAAAAATGTGATGACACTATACTCCGGGATATCATCATCCGTTCGCTCGTTGAACTCCGACTGGAATCCTGCATCCAACTGGAATCCTGCAAATCCTGCATCCGACTGGAATCCTGCAGACGTTTCGCCAAAATCTCACTTGGCATCTTCAATGCTCGCGCTCCGAAAACACTTCGAACATATATATATATATATATATATATATATATATATATATATATATATATATATATATATATATATATATATATA